TTGTCTCACCTTGGCTAACATAACAAATTTGTTTGCGATTATGTGGCCTTTTACGCTGGTTATAAATCCCGAAACCATCTGATTGTTGGCTTCCAGGCTTCGGAAAGCCTTAAACTGTTGTTGCGTGTAGAAGCTCGTCTCCAAAACCAGATAGAAAAGGAGATCTGTAGATTCAACTGGAGGCAAGCAGTCTGGTTGAAAATTCTTACTCTAAATAAGGACGGGATAGATCCCAATCACCGAAATTTTTTCCAAATAACGCTGCCTTACTCATGGTTCTAGCTTCTTGGCGTACTCAGAAAGAGGAGGATGGATAATGATATCAGTATTGGCACTTAATTTTGCTTCCGTTGCTGTAGTATTCATTTTTACAGGCAGAAATTGTTGATGTGCTTATATTTGCATATATTACCCTGCATGTATTACCCTGGGTTGTACACAAATATGGAGACCGGAAATGATGTGAGGTCACGTGAAAACGATCTATGGATATGTATACAAAAACACTGCAATTTGAAAATACATATATCAAATATATTAATTATCTAATAGACACATTGCGTGCTCTGATTGGTCATAAATCTAGCAGCCAACTGGTCTCCCGTCTGTCAACTGGGAATTTAAAACTTTTGTTAGTATTGTATATTTACATGTATACCCATAGAAAACTAAAAGATTTTACTGTCCTGTGAAATGGCTCCTCATTGGGCAGATTCTCCGATTTTAATTTGTCAAAGGTCTTTCACTTGAAGAGGAGGCATTGGGATTTTTGGTTTTATAGATCAGTCATTTGGTTTTTTGTGCCAAAAAACTTCAAGTTTTCAGTTTTAGTGTTCATTGCAGTTTGTGGATTTTTAATTTTTTTAGCATCTGGTTTAACGTTTTCGTTAAGGTACTACTTAGATGTGTATCCGATGAGGTGCTCGGTTTTTCCTATTAGGGTTCCACTTCCTCTTTGATGTGAGCCGCAATTATGCGCCTCCACTGAACTTGAACAGCTGCGAAATGCAAACATTATTGAGAGGGATGCGTAACAACTAAATGTCACCAATACACCTCCTCGGAGGTGAAATGTTGTAGGGTTCCGTAAGAGGTCATGAGTCTCCAAAGATCATGAGATCGTAGCTGACATGTAGCCATACAACTCCCCCAAAGGAGGAACAAAGATTGTGATTTTCTAACAGGTTGCTCCATTTAAAAACTTTACTTTTTGTTGCGCAGTTTAAGTGAAAGAACTTCTGGAGAACTCATTAAAAAAGACTCCCCTCAATAGGTGTCAACTACTACCAGAAACAACTCACTTGTGCCATTAACATTACAAATAGACCAAACAGAACAACCTAACTTTATCAGCAATGGATTTTGTTAAGAACGACTCAATAAATCCGCGGTTAAACTCAACGTTTTACTTTATTTTGACTTAGAAAAAAACCTCCATGGCGAATACTCGATCTTCACAAGGCAAAAATTCGAACTAAGTAAAAGTACTTGACATTTGATCCCTGTCACTCATTTTAAAAATACCATACATGTAACACAACGTCACGTTCTCCTGAACATTCCCCCTCCCCGCGCTGAGGGGACCGCAGTGTGCAAAACACGACTAAACATAACAGTCTTTTTTTTGTCCTTCACTGAAGTTCGCTTAAAAGTCTAGCAAGTCACAAGATAATTCTAACAGGATGACTAGAATAAATATGGTCTAAGCACGCATCAGAGGCAGGTCTTGTTACCCCATTTACCATCTGCGTTAATCCAAGACTGTTCAGTGCCTTTGCGAGACAATGTTTTGAATAACAGTTGAAATCAATATAATCCAAATTGAAGTCTCCCAGAATAATCAATTCATTGTTTT